TGAACAGTCGATTTGCTTGGGCAAATCTTGCATGATTTGTCTATTTTTTAAGACCAGAACATTCAAAGTCTGTTGTGTCCCCTACTTGGACACTATCAGCACCTACCCCTTTGCTCCTCCATCCCATCTCCCACTGCTCCCTGCACAAACCCAACCCTCCAACCACTCGGGCCATCCCTTCATGCTATCGCGGTGACATACTCTTGTCCCTTCCAGTCCTCTCTGTCTTCTGCCCCTGGCTGCCTAGAACCATTTTCATCTTTACTCTCAGGGCTCAGCTGAACCACCACTTCTTCAGGGTGCCCTACACCAGTTTCGGTCCCCCTGAGGACTCCATTCGTGCCTGTTACAACCCTCATACCTGCTTACCGTCTGCCTGCCTCTCTGGATTCCCTGCTCCAGGAGGTCAGGGTGGCAACTGATTGTTCTCTCTTGATCCCCAACACTTAGCAGAGGGTGTGCACACAGTAGGAACTCAGTGAATATTTGTTGAATAAATGAATGGTTTTTCCTCTTTTATGCATCTGTGGCTGGCTGAGCCTCTTCTAATGGACAATCTTTTAAGATAATGTTTATTCTTCAATGTCTTTATGGGCAGGTCCTATCTTGGGATAAAGAGTAGCTGTTTCAGGTGTCTGCAAATCTCTGTTTTGATGATGATATTGATGATAATTTAAAAAATTGTTTAATCCTCACCCAAGGACATATTTATCGATTGTAGAGAGAGGAAAGAAAAACATCGATGTGAGAGAGAAATATCAATCAGTTGCCTCCCATAAGCACCCCAACTGCAGATCAAACCCGCAACCTAAGTATGTGCCCTGATTGGGGATCACACCTACAAACTTCTGGTGTAGTTAGATGACATTCCAAGCAAGTGAGCCACTGGCCAGGACAATGGTGATAATAATTTAACAAGAACAATAACAGGGAGAAAGGGAGAGAGACATCAATGTATGTTTGCCTCATGCGCCCCCTACTGGAGACCTGGCCCACAACTCAGGCATGTGCCTGGACTGGATCGAGCAACCATCCTGTCATTTGCTGGTCTGCGCTCAATCCCCTGAGCCACACCAACCAGGTCACAAGATCACTCAATTTTGAAGAGATGGTATCGGCATCTGACTCCAGACTCTGCTCCTGACCACCTACAGAAAGGGCGACAAAACACTATTTCCCACTTTCTAAATAAATACACAGGATCTTTGCTAGTGGGTTATCTTTGCGGGTCAGGTCTAATTTAAAAGACGTTATTGCAATTGTAGATTCTTCTCTGTAGTCCGTATCTGCTGACGTTCTTGAGTTTATCGTGCCTTTTTTTTTTTTTTGCTCTTAAAGTTACATTTTTATTTGATTTTGGACAAATATGATTTAAATATTAGGAGTATTATTTTTTGCAATATGTATGTATTTCAGAAATATCATTAAATAAATACAGAAAAGAATTAATCCACTTATATCTGAAATCTTAAACTAACCCAAGGAAAAAGACTTCTTTTTCCCCAAATTATTTTTTTACTTTATTTTATTTTATTTATTTTTTCAAATACATTTGTCTCTTCCTTCCCCCCACCACTTTCCCCTTCCCCCCTCCCCCCTCTCCCTCCCTCAGTCCTTCCCTACTTTGGCTTTGTCCATGAGTCCTTGTTCTATGTTTCCTTGACTTGCCCCTTCCCTTCCTTTTCCTCCACCCACCCTTTCCTCCTTCCCTCCTGATGTGCTCTTTGTCTCCTCTGAAATGCTCTGGAAAGAGGCTGCCATGGACCAGAACGGCGGATCCCAGCCGCACTCTACCTATAGACCACAGGGGGGCGCTCCAGCCCAGCCCATGCTACAGCTCATCCTCTGCCCTCCAGCCCCCGCACCTTCTTCCTCCTGCATCCTCTTAGAAAAGCTCATGTTTTGCTTATCTCCTATTTGCGTTTGCATATTATAAAGCTAGTACGAGGCGGCAGGCTTTTGGGGGTTTTGTTGTTGGCTTGGTCCCAGCCCAGGTTTCCAGCAAGTCCCTGGTTCATGTACCAGATGTCAGCCTGAATGCAAGAAGGAGATGCATATTCTGGAGGCTCCACTGAAAAGGAACATTTTTCCTGCAGTGGGAGAGCCCCAGGATTTCAAAGAACAGACTTCCATTTATATTCTGGCTACTGGGTCTTCCAGAAGCCAGCAGGCGTGAGTCTGAGAAGCTGCTTCAGTAAAGAATTCTGGGGGCAGTTTGATGTTGGTGGGGGAGAGCATGGAGCTATGGTCCATGGGCTCCAGTCCTCTCAGAGGGCGAACGTGGGGAAGGCTTCCGCCCTCTGCATCTCTTTACCTGCCAGAGGAAGGAGCAGTGCTCTGTGGTCACAAGTCCCCTCCCATCCCAGAAATCTCATTCTGGCTGTTGTTGGCAACAGTAGGCAGCGACTTTTCTGAAGGTTATTTTTGGTGGGGATCTGGCAGACATCCAGCTGGCGGTGAATGGATGCCTCATGCAGTTGGTATCATTCTTTTTGGAGATATATGCACCTACATAGAATTCTAACATGCTTGAGCTGGAAGGGACCACAAGAACCATTTCGGTAATAATTCTTTTTTTTTTTAATAGATGAAGGAACTGAACCCTTAAAAGGTTATGTGATGTTTAGTCACAAGCATCATCATTGTCTCCTGACAACAGTTTACTAAGTGATTTCCCTGACATTATTTCCATTTATCCTGCCAACACTCCTCATTTCACAAGTGGGGAGGCTGAGGCTCTGAGAGTCTGAGCAATTTGGTCAAGGTCTCACAGTAAGTTAGAGCTAAGCTGCAAATCCAGGCCTTTAAATAATTATAGTGTTCTGTGGAATCCCCTGGAAATCCAAGGCAGTACTTAAGCTACCATGGGAAAAGAGGAATTCTGTTGTAATACACAGACCCGCTTACTAACCGAGAGACTGAATGAACCAATCAATGAGCTGAGTAATCCCATTCATTCATCCACTGAGGACCTCCAATGGTTGTGTCCTGGCCTAAGCGCTGAGAATACAGTGACTAACAAGGCAGAAATGGTCCCTGTCCTGGGACTCGACTGGGTGATACTTAACTCACAGCCTCACAAATTGCATTTGTATTCAATTCAGTTTTTCCCTGACTTAGATAAACACCCATCATTCCTGCCTTCTCACACTTGCGTTCTGGGAAAGGTGATACAGACGTGCGTTGGTACCCATGTGGTTACGTTCTGCATGCACAAGCACCTTGCCAGTCTCAGTGTCTCAGAGCCCAGGACATCTCCTGGAGGTCAGTTGGTCAGACAACAGGCTTTCAGTCACTAAGCGATGCGTTTGGGTGGGATGTGGTCTCTGGCTGCGCAATGCTACAAACTCTTTTTCCACCACAGATACAAGGTGCCAGGCAGAAGTGCCACTGTTCGTATTTCATGGTCTTATAACGCCTTAGATTACGCTTGGCACTCTGAAGAGTAAAGCGGAAAGGGGCACACTTGGTATCAGGCATGGGTTCAAATCCTACCTCCAATTGTTACACCTCAGAGATTACTGGCAACCTATTTAACTTCTCATCATAAAGTGCAGTACAACACAAAACTACAAAAGCCAGTCTACTCGAGTATCCTCACCCCTCAAAGGAAAAAATTGTCCCTCTTCCGTTTCTAGCCACAGAACATCTCCATTAAAGTCTTGCAATTTGAACCCAGCCGAGAGGTTTTCTTCCTTCATGCTCACTGTGCTCTCGGCCGCCAGCAGATTCAGAGTTTCTGAGTTAAAATGTTTTTACATATGTGGTAGGGAAAGCAATATTTCTATGCATTTTTAAAAATGAAGACATACTTCATATACATGTGTGTGTGTTGAGGAGAATAGAAGATTATCTCGTGAAAACACAGAACTTCATGAGTAGATGAGACCCTAATGGCCCTCTAGACCAATGCCTTTATTTTGAGTCAAGAAAAATGGCGGGAAGCTTTACAACTTGATTGAGAGCAGATTCATGAGCTGAGCCTGTTTTCCTGTTTTATGGTCCAATGTTTCCTGCCACAAATACTTTTTATGATAAAGACCAAGCAGAAAACACCACTAGTATTTGACACATGGAGGAGTTGGTGCACATAAAGCCCCCTGGAATTCACTCCATCACTCTGCCCTATCTTCCTGACTTGTCCCAGCCACCCAGTAGCACAAGCTCACTTCAATGAAAAGCGAGGATGTCCAATAGTTACCATTATATCTGTAACAGCTGTTCATGGAAATCTAGTAGCAAAGTGCAACTAGAGGCGGGCTGAGCCATGCACATCAGAGCCACCGAGGAGGTCTTTAAAACAGAGAGTCCCTGCCCTGACCCTGAACCTCTGGAGGGCACCCACAACTCTGCAATTGAGAGCCAGGTTCCCCCGTGGAGGATGCTCCCATCTGAGCCCGTGTGCCTCAAGCTAACAGCTCTTGAGGAGGCTACGCCAGTGTTTAGAATGACTTAGAAAGGAATGTTCCTCTAAAACCTGATCAATACGGGGCTGGCCGGACTGAACTAGGCTGAGACCAGTTTAGAGACCAGAGCTGCTGGGAAAGGTAGCATGTTGTCGCTCAGAGTTTGCTCATTTCAAAACTTGCTCTTTACATACTATTTTATGAAATTATTTGGTGATAGGATTTAAGTCATTTTTTTTTTCATTCCAGAGACATTTTTTTAAGTTGAAGAAGTCTGGAAAACGTACAGGACGCGCATGCGTCTCACACACGGTTTTTCTTTGCTTTATTGCGGCGGGCAGGGGGTGAGGCCTCTCCCGCCCCCTGGTGGCAGCACTGGAATCCGCATTCTCTCAGGCATTTTCTGTAAGCACGGTAACGGCCGGCTTGGGGCCAGGTGACTGGGACACGGGGCCCACCTTCCAGTTTGTCATTTCAGCAGGACATCAGCCGAGAGTGAAATCATGCGGCTTCAGTGTAGACAGCGTCACAACAATACCGCAGCCCACCACACAGACAATCTAACAGACAAGTTCCACTGGTTTCATTTTTCAGGAATTAGTGGTGGCCCCTTGGAAAACCACTACCGACTGAAGCAGTTCCACTTCCACTGGGGAGCAGTGAACGAGTGGGGCTCAGAGCACACGGTGGATGACCACGTGTACCCGGCAGAGGTCCGTAGGTGTCATTTTGGCAGTGACTATGGGCAAGCTTTCTACGTGCCAGGCTCAATTGTACGGTGACCAACCATCCCAGGGGCCCAGAAAAGGGGGAGTTTCCTGGGACATGGTTCTCTGTGCTCAAGCCAGAACGACTGGCCACCTCATCCATCCAATCACACAGCTATCCTAAAGGGAGGGTATTATTACCACTTTCATTTAACAGAAGAAGAGACTGAAGTCCTAAGAGGTTAGGCAACTTGCCAAAACCAGACAGCTGGATTCAAGGGCAGTCCGTGCCCTGGCAGCTCCTCTCTCAGCCCCGCGCTCGCAGGGGTCGGGGTCGGGGTCGGGGTCGGGGTCGGCTCCGAGGAGCGCCTTCCTGTCCTTCACGGCACCGAGGCCTCCTATTGAGAATCTGAAAAGTCTTTACAATAGAGGTCATCCTAAAACAAAGTGAGATTTGCAACATTCAAAAATGGGACGCAGGAAAAACATGAACTGAAATAGATGTTAGGAATTGGTTTTTGTAGTTACAGTGGGGTGATAAGTGGGCCTTATCTCTCCCCCAATATTTTATTCTGAAATTTTTCCAAAAAATGGGAAGAACTGGACAGTGAGAACCCATGAGGCTGCTGCCCAGATCCTGTGATTAACATTTTGCCGTATTCGCTTTATCACACATGACCACCCGCCCGCCCCTTTATCTGCCCACCATCCACTTGAATTTCAAAGGCACTTCAAGTTACAAACTGTTTTTGTTTTAACTTTTTGTTGTCCTTGTTATGGGAGTAACACTATAGTTAAAATCAAACTAGAGTCCAGCCAAACTAAAAGATAAAAGTCACCTGTAATCATACACCCAGAGGGGACCTCTGAGGATAGCTTATAAATAGGCAGTTACAGCTATTGTTATAATTATACACATATTTACAAACATCACAAAAAGGAAGGAACACGGCTTACAACATGCTTCCTTTCATCTGACAGCACACCTTTTATCTTCATAACCGTGTGTCTGTACCATGGGTTTTAATGAACAACTATTTAACAGGGAGGTGGTTGTAATTTATGAGCAGAGGCAAGATCCTGCACGGGACCCACCCGGGCTGTCCCTGCGTCAGATCCCCGCGGCCTTGCCTTTGACGCAGGTCGCGGGGCGCCATTTCCTGCGGAAGCTTGGAGGGCAAAGCCCACTCCCACCATGGAGTCTGTAAAGGAAGGAGGCTGCAGGCAGCACCCTGGGCCCTGCCGCCTCCATTGCCGGGAGATCGCAGTAGGACAGCAGATGGGGCACACCAGGTCAGCCGCCGACGGACAGGGAGGGGCCTCGCCACCCTCTCTGTCCCCAGTGCATGGGGCTGGGAACACTGCGACTTGGGAGTGGGGTGCCACCTAGAGCACAGGTGGACTCAGCCCCCCGGCAGAGGACCCCGGGGCCCCGGAATCCGGCAGCTGCGTGGGGAGGACTTGCTGAACTCTGACCTTGCACACTTCAGAAAGGCCTCCACCACAGCTCACTCCCGTCGAAGGAAATCTGTATGGACACCCAGGCCCTTCTAGGTCCTGAGCCAAACCCAGCATCAACACCCACGCACTCGTTCACATCACAGCGATCCTGCGCCAGGCCCAGGGGTCCTGGCTCCGCCTCCTGCTCGCCAACTCCCAGGAGAGCCTGTTTCCCAAGCCAGTCCCCTGCCCCGATTTAAATCCTTGTCATCTGGTCAGTCCTAATGCCAAATTCGGACTTGGGAAAATGGAAGGAGGGTTGTGAAATAAGGACACAGAGGAAGTTTAAAGGAGGGTGACAAAGGGAGAAAAAAATGCAATATTTGGGGCATTAAAAACCATTTGTTGTTTATCTGAAATTCAGATTTAACTGGGAGTGCTCTATTTGATCTGGTAAACTCCGCTCAAGGATATGTGAGACATACAAAAAATAGCAAAAAATCCAACCACCCATTTTTATTTTATAAAGTTAAAACGAGCCTCTTTCTCTCCCAACAAAAACACTGAGGCACTTACTCTCTGTGGTTTTGTCAGCCATTTGGGGGCTCCAGGCATGCTGATGGCACTGTACCCCTTAAAAGCACGCTGCTCCGACTGAATTCATTAAAACCATTAAATGGCCATGTGGGTCTGCCACGCAGAAGGGGCAGCGACCGGTTTACTTCTTACTGCATTGTGATAGGTGTAAATTCTCTTTCTCCTGTGTTTCAGCTGCATTTAGTTCACTGGAATTCTGTGAAATACCAAAACTACAAAGAAGCTGTGATGGGAGAGAATGGCTTGGCTGTGATAGGCGTATTTTTAAAGGTAATCTCTTACTAGGGCGTAGCTCTCCTAATGAAAACAGCAGTGCGCAGTAACGGAGAACGGGTTTTTAATCGCTGCCTGCATGGAATGAGGTGTGCCCGGCTCCCTGTCCTCTACCTTTTTGAGTGAACATTCCGTATGTCTGTGCTGTGCAGCTGGGGGCCCATCACAAGGCGCTGCAGAAGTTGGTGGAAGTCTTGCCGGAGATAAAACATAAGGTAAGCTACATGTATCAAAATGACCATAATTGGAAAAGCAAAACTGTTTCAAATATTGACTCATTTGCAAGAGGAAAAAAAAACAGCTTGGTGGAAAGAGTGTTGCGGAGAGGGTCTGAGTCCCACTCTGGGAATGGGACGCACTGGGGCTAACTCCGGTTGTGTCACTAGCTGGCTCACTCGCTGATGTCATTGTGTCCCTGCTCTTCCCGGGGCCCCTCTCTTCTCAGTATAACTGGGATGCTGGACTCGATCTGAGTTTCCAAACATTCAGTCATTTAGGCAGCATCTTGAAGATTTTTGCCATGTCCCCCTCCACTGGTCCTATCCCAAGCAATGACATCCATTAGGGCAAATGTTTTTTTTAAAGCTGATTGAAATAGATACCAAACTGTTAACATTTTAGAGTGCCTACCCAAGTGCCACCTGGCACACTCCTGGGGGGTGGTCTTAGGGCCACTCCATCCCTGAGACCACGGAGACCACAGAGAGAGGAAATCCTGCAAACCCACTCCTCTTGCGTGGCAGAGTGGATCTCGGCCCAGCTCCCCTTGGACACCTTGCTGCATTAAGCACAATTCAGAAAGATGTCAAGGACAACAATGTAGCTTTTCTCCAACATCAGCTAAGAAAGGACTTTGATGGAGAAGTGGAAATTCCAAAGAAATGCAGTTTATTTGTTCGGTACCAAACAAAAGCATTCTGAGACAGAAAGAGTCACCGTGGTCCTTGAACGTGTGGACGGTTAGGGGTCCCACCTGTCTTAACAATGGTGAGCTCGGCTCCACAGGAAAACTGGGGGTCAGCCCTTCCTTGGTTGGTTCACAGGGGTCCTTTGATCTGTGTGGTGCGTTCCCCTTGATGTTGACCTCTGGGTGGGCCTCATGGGACTGAGACCAGATCACCCTTCCCACACCCCACTGCCATGTCTGCCAGCTCAGGAACTCCACAAGGTCAAGGTGCTTTGAGTATCCTCTTCCTTGCTGGTCTTGGGCCAGAGTAAACCTGGGATGTTTTCCCCATCAGCATCCACCCACTACAGGGCATGGTCTCCATCTCCTGGTGGGAAAGAAAGAACAGGCTGTGAGGTCCTGTTTACTCAGGAGGGTGTTTTCCTTCTATGGAAGGCTCTGGAGCATTCCCCGCCACCGTCCCACACAGGGACTAACTCAGGGTCTCCTGGGCCAACCACGTGGGAGAAATGGTGTCAGCGTGGTGACAGAAGACACTGCCTGGGCCCCATTCTGGTCTGATGGCCATCTCTGGGCCTCTGTTTCTTTGCCTGAAAAATGAGCTAGAATCTTAAGAGGTAAAAGGCCCAGCCCTGGCGAGCAGGAGCCTGTGCCCCATGGGCTGGGAAGCATAATCGGTGAGAATCATTTGTCGCACTCTGTGCTCCGTCCTGGGTTCTGGGTCGGTTTTTAAAATTTTGCACTGTTACGAGTCACCTTGGTGGTGTACGTTCTATCGGTTTTGACAGATCCAGAGTCACAGGTCCCCCACCCAGGACCACACAGAACAGCGCTCCACCCCGCACTTCCATCCTATGGCCCTGGTACAGTCAAGCCTCCCGCCCCCAAGACTTGGTGGCTACCGATTTGTTCCAAACCATATGGTTTTGCCTTTTCTCCCATTTTTATTCTCCCATGTTGTACTGTGTGGAGCTTTGTAAGCCACCATCCTCTCTTTGCAGTGGGATGTGCATCGTAGACAAGAGAACAGCGAAGACTTACGGAATGGGCACTCATGCACCAGGAGCTGGGCTCCTTGCGTTCATGATGGACGGTGGTACAAACCACGCCCTATGTCTCCCCCCCCACCCCCGCCCCGCACCACTCCAGCCAGCGGGGCTGACAGACGAGTAGAGAAGGGGCCCTGACTTGCTTTGGGGGCCCTGCGGGGGAACAGCTTTCTGTATCACAGGCTATTCTGAGGACTAATGTGCTTTAGGGACAGGACATAGAGCTCCTGGGGACATTACTAGAAACACATAGATGTCCTCTCAAAATTTTAATTGCCAAGAAACTGGCAGCGATCAGAGTGCTGGGACCACCTGCTGCTGCCCCGCATGACCCGCTGCTTTTACGTCCACCCTGCAGCCCGCAGGGAGGGAGGAGCCAGTTCCCGCTTTTTAAAAATCATTACTATATTTTATTGTTATCTATTCATTGTCCCCATTTTGCCCCCTTTGCCCCCCCTCCACCCAGCCCCCCACTCCCTCAGGCAGTCGCCACACCATTGTCCTTTGGCTGCCCCATTCCCCGTGCTGTACTTTACATCCCCATGACGGTTCTGTAACAACCAAACTGTATTTCTAAATCTCCTCACTCCCCTCTTCTCCCATTCTCCTCCTCACCCCCCATCTGGCAACTGTCAAACCATTCTCTGTATCTATCATCGTGTTTCTGTTCTGTTTGTTTATTTTGTTTTTTAGATTCAATTATTGATACATATGTATTTATCGCCATTTTATTGTTCATATTTTTCTCCTCCTCCTCCTCCTTCTTCTTCAAGAAGACCTTTTAACATTTCATATAATACTGGTTTTGTAAAGATGAACTCCTTTAGTTTTTTCTTGTCTGGGAAGGTGTTTATCTGTCCTTCAATTCTAAGTGATAGCTTTGCTGGATAGAGTAATTTTGGTTGTACATTTATCACTTTGAATATTTCTCACCAGTCCCTTCTGGCCTATAAAGTTTCTTTTGAGAAGTCAGCTCACAGTCTTATGGGAGCTCTCTTGTAGGTAACTAACTGCTTTTCTTTTTGTATTTAACCTTTGGCATTTTAATTATGATGCATCTTGGTGTGGACCTCTTTGGGTTTCTCTTGTTTGGGACTTGTATGTGTATTTCCTTCACCAATTTAGGGAAGTTTTCTGTCACTATTATTTCAAATAGGTTTCCAATTTCTTGCTTTCTCTTCTCCTTCCGGCTTTGAGACGGCAGACCTCCCGTAGCACCTGGGTCCTGGTGCTGTCTAGCTGTGGATTTGGGAGACTCACTTTTGTCTCTCTTACTTTCATCATCGGTAACATAAAAATGCTCCTTAAAGGGCGGTTCTGAAAATTCAAGGTAATCATCTCAGAAGGTGTTTGGCAGCCTTTGGGGCTGGGGACTTAGGGGGAAGAGCAGGGGATATATTTGTCACCACACACCCACTGGTACTTTTTGCATTTTGTCCCATGGGCACATGTGACCTGTTTCCTTCGAGAATTAAGTAGAACAAGCAATGGGATACCCTCTGGCTATAAAAAGGAATGAAACACCAACACACACACCACCATGGATGAACCTTGCCGGTATTAAGCTGAGTGAGAGAAGCCAGTCACAAATGTCCACATAGTATATGGTTCTGCTTATAGGAAATGTCCAGAATAGGTGAATGCATGTGGCTAGAAAGCAGATTAGTGAGGCCTGTGGCAGACTGGGGCAGGGTGGAGGGGTCTGGGGCCATCATGGCCAAACAGCATTTACTGGGGTTCTTTTTTTGTCTGGAGTTCTCTTCTGCGATGATGAAAATGTTCTAAAATTGACTTTGGTGATGGCCACACATATCTCTCTCTCAATATACTAAAAGCTGTGAATTGTACACTTTAAAGGAGTGAATTCTATGCTATGTGGATCAAATTGCAATAATGCTGTTTGGAAGACACTCTGAGGAAATTCATTACAAAGTAGAATGACACCTGGCATTCACAGTGTGAACCAATTTACTTCCCTCTTGTCAGCAGCTTCACTAACGTCTCCCCATTTCTGACTGATGAAAGCCAGCCATTAATGTACAAGCGAGGTAGTCTGGGCCCCTTGGTTTTGCCTCTGAAGGCCAGAAGGAAGGATTCCGTGGTCAGGGAGGTCTTCCTCCCTGGGGCAGAGGGTGTCTGTTCCGAGCTGGAACGCGCTCCCGCAGCGCCCGGCCCGGGGTGGGTCTGGAGCTGAGGCTGGCGTGCAGTGTTGCTTACAGGCCTGGCCCTACATTAACCTTTCAGTCTCCTTCAATTCGCAGAGGGGTGGGAGCCATTGTCCTGGGCCCCTCAGCCCGAGGGATCATTTTCTGTCCAAGCAAAAGGTGCCTTTGGCTTACAAGGGGGCAGATGGGCCCGGAGGCCTCCTTTCTCTTCACACCCCTGGCACTGTGCCGGGCAGCATCAGCATAGTGGCCCCTCGCTCCTGCCTTTGCTGGTGGTTTCCTCAGCGGTCCCAGCCCTCAGCAGAAGCAGTGGTGCCCCCATCTGCAGGAACCCCTGCCCCCCCCCCATCTCTTTTTATTGCTTTTGTGTCTCCCTTACTCATTCCAGCCTCTTTACTGTTCCTCTAGCCCCTCGGGGCCTTGGCACTGGCCGTGTCCACTCTGGCACCCGCATGGCCTCTTCTGCCACCTCCTCCATGTCTTTGCTCAGATGATGCCACCCCAGTGAGGCCTTCAGGGCCACCCCCCTTAAACCTCCCACCACACATGCACGCTGCCCTACTCTATTTTCCTCCATCATGCTGACCGCTGTGTAAACTGCTAGATGTGCGCTTATTATTTGGTGTGCTCTTACTTTCCCCTGGCAAAAGGTGAGTGCCATGAGGGCAGGTGGTTTTGTACCCCAGCACCTAAGATAGAGTCGGGCTCACTGTGGGCGCTAAACGCATAGCTGTGAGTGAGTGAATGAATGGATGAATGAATGGTAGCATCCTGTCGGCGTCCCTTGGAACTCAGAAAGGCAGGTTGCTCCTTGTCCTTTTATGAAGCACAGAAAGCGAGCAAACATGAATTCTGAAATTCAGAACACAGGGCTTCCCGGCAGGACGTGCTGGCTGGAGGCCCATGGGAGCAGTACAGGAACCAGGGCACGCAGGGATCAAGCACAGCTGTCTGGGTCCATCGTTCCCGCCTGTTCCCTGCGAGAAGGAAGATTCTGGCATAAGAGTGAGGGAACAGGCTCAACGCAGGGCATCCTCCTGAGTGGATGTCATCACCACGGCTCTTGCGTCAGGGACGGTTGCTTTAAGAGAAGTTCAACTGTCTTAAAAGGGCAACCAACTGTGGAAAACAGCCTGGCGGTTCCTCAAAAAACTAAACATAGAATTCCCATAGGATCTAGCATTTCCACTTCTGGAAATACACGCAAAATAATTCAAAGCTAGGTCTTAAAGAAATATTAGTATATTCATGTTCATGGAAGCATTACTCACAGTAGCCAAGGGAGGAAAGCAACCCAAGTATCCATTGACAGATGAATGGAAAAACACAATGTGGTATATTATACAGCCCTAAAGAGCGAAGCAATTCTGACATGTGCTACAACATGGATGACCCTTGGGGACATTATGCTGAGTGAGCTAAGCCAGTCACAAAGGGAGAAATACTGCACAATTCTGCTCATACAAGGTTCCTCGAGGAGTCAGATTCATAGAGACAGAAAGGATGCTGGGCCCTGGCTGGGTGGCTCAGCTGGCTGGCGCCTCATTTTGTGCACCGAAACGTTGTGGGTTTCATCCCTGGTCAGGGCCCATGACCAGATTGAGGCTTTGATCCCCCGTTGGGGTGCGTACGGGAGGCAACAGGTCAATGTTTCTCTGTCCCTCTTGCTCTCTCTCCGAGACTTCCTCTCCCTCTAAAATCAATAAACATACCCTTGGGTGAGGACTTTTTAAAAAGTAGAAAGAAAGTAGGATCGTGGGTGCCAGGGCCTGGGGAGTTAGTGTTTCACGGTGGAGGTTCCAGTCTGAGAAGAGCAGAAAGCCCTACAGACAGACGGGGCGATGGTCACACCACCGTGCGCGTGCACTCAGCGCCACAGGGCACGAAGATGACTGAGACAGCAGACTCCATGTTATGCATGTTATTTTACCACAGCTTTTTAAAGTGTAATATTTTCACAGCCTTGGTATATGAGAACAAATAACTTGAGAAGAAAAAATATAAGCATTGGGGGAGATTAGTGTTCTGCTACAAGGGTCATGCATTCTTGTTCTTGACTCCAAATGTGACAACTGTGGCCTCACAGCCTTTATCTCAGAGAACACACTTCCCGCCCAGCGACATGGAGGCCACATCTCTGAGACAAAGATGGGGCGCCGTTCCCTTCCTTCCTGAGCCCCTGTACCTCCGCCCGAGCACTGACGCAGCCTGTGGTCTCCGTCTCTCAGGATGCACGGGCGGCTGTGGGTCCCTTCGAGCCCTCCTGTCTGCTGCCCGCCTGCCAGGACTACTGGACCTACCCGGGCTCCCTCACCACTCCCCCACTAACTGAGTCGGTCACCTGGATCATCCTTAAGAAGCCCATTGAAGTGGCTGCGAACCAGGTGAGCTGTGCCCGTAGCAGGTGTAGTAGGACTGTGCTGAAGAAACTGCTGGGCAGTGTTGCTAAGGTATTGTAAACGAGCACCGTGGGTTTTATCCTTTGGTGTGTTTTGGGTGTTCCTGGACAAGAAGAATTTTCCAACTGAAATACAAACTCGTTGAGATTGAACAAAGGTTCCTAAAATCATAATTCTTGTGACTTTCTTGTGAAGGGGAGGAAGAAGGAACTGATATGGGGGGAAACAGTTACATTTCAGCACTATCTAATCTTGAGCGGTTTAACATTCAGGCGTGGCAAGTATCCCTAATGACTGATGGTTCAGCTTGGTCATTGCTTCCTCTTCAGTCTATGTCAGGATAAAGTTACTTTAAGAAAATAGAAGTGACATTATAATTGGGACATGGATCCTTGTTCATAACGGGCCCACACTAGGTATTTGTTGGCGAATGAAATAACCAGGAACGGGATATCATAGATGGACACTGGAAAGCCATTGAAGAAGTAGGATGGTGGAAAGAGAAGAGAACGTTTTCGTTTGTTCCATTTATTTGGATGATAGAACAGTAAGAAATTGGGATTGCAGAGCATTTTCTCACATGCTGCATTAAGAAGTTACAGAACTATATGTGCCAAGAGAAAATTCCAGAAGGGTTATATTAGTCAGCTATTGCTACAATAATGCTACATAACAAACCACCCCAAAACTCAATAGCTTATAAGAAGCATTTGTTTTTTCTGCCTGTGGGTCCATGGTTTGGCTGGGGAGGCTCCGTGTTAGACTGCGGGTGGCCGGGCCTCACTGAAGGTGGTTGGCGGTTGGGCCCGACCCGGTGTCTCTCATGCCCCTTGGACCAGTGACTACCAAGCGTTGGTTCTCATGGTAAATGACAAAAATGCAAAAGGCAAGCCAAACCTCATGTGCACACTTAAGGCTTCTGCTGGCATCACACCTGTTCACATCCTGTTGGCCAAAGCAAGTCACAGTGGCAAGGCCAAAGTCAGTGGGGCAGAGAGGAGGCGAGTGAATAGTCACTGAACAACGCCCTGATTTATCACATAGATACACCCCAAAGAGTTACTACTCATTGTCTCAGGGTCATAGACCTGCTGTGGTTTTTATTTTCTTCCTTTTTCTTATCTAAACATTTTATTTTTTTCTAAAATAAGTAGATATTATTATGGATACTTTTTTTTTAAAGTTGTATCTTTTTCTCTGGAAATCTCAAGAATCGGGAGAAAGTCCGTCTGTCTAGGGCGGTTCCGATGAGTCCCATGAGACAGCATAGGGATGACACAGCAAGCATGGTGTCACTGCCCCACCACCCTGCCCAGGGCAGGCGTTTCTGATCACTCGCAGAAGTTTTTGTCACCTCTGGTTGAGCTATACTCTTTCTGGGACTGCTAGACGTGCTTTTAGAGGTTCTTCCAGCCTCATGAGTCTGTGAAAATATTCTCTTATTTAAAAGCTGTGGAATGATGCCCTTTGCTTTGAGAAGCTGAACATTGAGATGTGGGTTGCAGATTCCCCATCCTATCCCCAAACCAGAACTGTTGCAGACATCAGGAAGGCCTTGGTGGAAGAATGGCCTTAGTCATCAAGACCCCTCTGTTGCTCAACAACAACAAAAAAAGTATAAGCACTCATTCTCCATGGGGTTTGTAGAAGGATGGGGTGGGAGGGAGTAGGAAGGAAGAGGGTGATACAAAAACAGCAATGTCAGTCTCTGTGAACTGCTGTCTGGTGGGAAGTGGAAATGTAAGTGGATAGTTTTCAGGCAGGGTGGTAAGGGAATATTATGCAAAAATACAGAGCAGAAGCCCCTTACCCTGACCAGGGGAACTGAGGAGGTGGTGTGTGCACCCCCTGGACAGTGGGAAGGAGATTGCCAAGTGGAGGAGAGGAGAAAGACTGCATTTCGGGAAGAGTCAAAAACATGGGCAAAGTAAGAGCACTGAGCTTCAGTGCCTGGGATCTGTGTGCACCATGCCCTACACAACTCTAGAGGGCACTTCATCAACCATGCAGATCTAACTTGTTCTTTAAGTGGTCACTGTGAAGATAAAAATGTCACTTCTCTATTAATTAAACATGTGAATTATGCTCACAGAGCTCATAAGTATTTCTGAGAACAAATGAGATGATGCATAAAAGATAATCTTTTAGTTCCTTGAGTGAAAAGTGAATCAAATGTTACTTTAGCATTTGTATTGTATGTATTAGTTCTCCATTGCTGTGTAACAAATAGCTCCAAAACTTAGCAGCTTCAGAAAATAATTATTAGTTATTATCTCTCAGAGTTGCCATGGGTCAGAATTTGGGGTGGTTCAGGCCTAGAATCTCTCATGGAGTTGCAGTCAGATGTCAGCTATGGCTGTAGTTTCTGAAAGCTTACCTGAGGCTGGAGGATTTATTCCCAAAGTGGCTCACGCAAGGAACCTGTAAGTCGATGCTGGCTGTCAGCTCCATTCCTCTCCCCAGGGCCTCTCCATGGGGCTGAGTGTCCTCACAACATGGTGACTGGCTTCCCCAGAGCAAGTGATCCAAGAGACCATGGTGGAAGCTACAAAGCCTTTCCCAACATTGCTCAGGAGTCACCTCGGCCATATTGCATGAGCTACACAGGGCCATCCTGATTCGGTGTGGGAGGGGACTATACAAGGCACATGGGACACTTGGGAGCTGGTTCACTCTGTCCCTGCACTCGGTTACTCTGGTAGCTCTCCATTCCAGCTGGATGCATTTCGCAAGCTCCTGTTTACTGCACTTGGTGAAGAAGAGAAGATGATGGTGAACAATTACCGCCCACTTCAACCCCTGATGAATCGGAAGGTCCGTTCATCCTTCCAGGCCATGGAAGAGCGCACCGGATCCTAAATTTATAATGTGCAAGTCAGTGGGTAGAACTGACTTTAAAAAGAGGGTATAGTGTTTTTCAAGTTTCACAGTCTGACCATATGTAATCACTGAAATTAAAAAGAGAGACAGAAATCATTGTTTTATTCAATGTACTTTTCGGTTCCGATGAAAAGAATCACTTCAAAGAAACTTAAGTATGACAGGAAATAGATATCAGGGACACAAAATATCTCATGTGACTCACAGCAATGCATAGCGACTGCAGGGGGCTGACACCACCCGCCCAGCCCTCTCTCAGCTCCATGCTTTACTCCCTCCAGGAAGGTGCCTTCTGTCTCTCCACACTCATGGCCACCCCATTGTTCCCAGGGAGCAGAGTCTAGACTAATATCCTTTTACCCAATTCCAAACGTCTGGGTGTGTCTTTGTCCTGGGGCTGTATAATGAATGACCCCAAACTGAAGGGTTAAACAACAGAAATGTATTTTCCCACAGTTCTGAGACTGGAAGTCCAAGGTTGAGTTGCCCACACTGACGGGTTCTGGGGAGACCCCTCGCCTTGGCTTGCAGGTGGCCCCTTCTCCCTGTGCCCTCGCGGGCGTCCCTCAGAGCACGCACCCAGAGAGCAAGCCCTCGCTCTTCCTTTTCTTATAAAGCCACCAATCCCGTTGAATCATGACACCACCCTTATGACCTCATTCGACCTTAATTACCTTCTAAAAGTCCCATTTCCAAATACAGACATATTAGAGGTGAAGGCTTCCACAAATGAATTGGGGCAGAGGAAACAATTTAGCCCATGGCAATCAAAAACTGCGGGCTTAAAACAACAGAAATGTGTCGTCTCGTGGTTCTGGAGGATAGAAGTCCAAATTTAAGGTGTCGGCAGGGCTGGTTCCTTCCAGAAGCTCTGCGGAGAAACCCATTTCCTTGCCTTCTATGCACTCCTTTGCTGGTGGCCCCTGCATCCATCTTCAAAGCCAAAGACGTCTCCAGAGCGGTTGCTTCGGACCAACCACCATTTTATTTTGGTCATGGTTTCTCCTTGGTGTTTTTTAAAAAATTTTGGTAAAATATACATAACATAAAAATTATCGTCTTAACGATTTTTAAGTGTAGAGTTCAGTGATATTAAATACATTCACAGTGTTGTGTAATTATGACCGTCGTCCATCACCACAGCCCTCTTCACCATGTAAAACTGAAACTCTGTAACGTTGAACCAAAACTCTCCATTCTCCCCTCCCCCCAGCCCTTGGCACCCACCATTCTACCTCCTGTCTCTATGATTTTGAATGTTCTAGGAATCAATATGAATGGAATAAGACAGTATTTGTGCTGTTGGGACTGCCTTATTTCACTCAGCAAGGTTCATCCATGTTGTGGCATGTAGATTGTCCTTCCTTTTCCTTTTTAAGGCTGAATAACATCCTAATTGATAATAGTAGTTTTATTTTTGGAGCATTTACAATATTCCCCTCTGGTAGAGATGCAGCTCTACAAATAACCTAATCATGTTATCTTCCAACATTATCTTACTATCAGATAAACCATGAAAAACAGCACAGAAAAATAAGCAAATGCTATTCTGTCTACCAAGGCTCAGTGTTAAACTCCATCTCATTTTGGGGAGATTAAAGAATAAATATACTCACCATAGTCCACAAATAACATCTAAAATCAAAGAGAACTTATTTTATGAATGTGGTTTATTTTGGCAGCGATTTACATTTTTCCCCCAATCACAGAACATCTTATGGTACCAACAGTCCGGCCTTGAGCTATTCCGTGTTCTGGCACTTACTGCAGAGAAAGCAGTCCTACCTATCCTTATACACATTCTTTCCTGGGAAAGTATAGTTGCTCACGAGCACTCATCGTATTACAGTGCTTTGTCCAGAGCAGCACAGCAGGCTTTAATGTTATTTTACAAAGTCCCCAGAGTCATTTTTGTTTCACCACAAAATAAAAAAGTTGGGGAGCATAAATGATGGGTCAAGGCTTGAGTGTTACAATTGGGTGCAGGGCTCTGGATGGGTGGGTAGCTTCAATCGCTGGAGACATATGGTGTCCAGGAGGGCAGGAGATATTTTTAAATTTGGTTTGGATCCCAAAATATTTCTTGTCTTTTGAAAAAATGTAGCCATTCTTGAGTCTCTAGTGAAGTGGGCTTTAGCCCATAAGGAGAGTTTCCTATATCTCTTGTAACAAATGACCACAACTTGGTGACCTCCTGCCTCCCTCTTATAAGGACCCTATGATGACATTGGACCCATCTGATATCCAAAATAATCTTTCCTCTCAAAATCCTTAGCTTACCCACACCTGCAAAGTCCTTTTGCCATGTAAGGGCACATAGTCTCAGGATGGGATCAGGATGTGAACATCTTGGGCCATTATTCAGTGGATTGTATTCGTAAAGCCAGCCTGTGGCAACTTCCGTCTAGCATCATGAACAGCCCTGGGTTGCTCTTTGCTGGGGGGAGGGGGAGGGGATGGACTGGGGAGGTGCAATGAGTGGGGCGAGGGTGGAAGCAGGTATTGGAAATGTTCTAGAGCTATACCATCCTAAAGCACTTCCTGTGGTGGTGGAATCATCCAGAGCTGCACTCTCCTATATACAGCAGCCCTTGGGCACGTGTGGCCATTGGGCACTTGACATGTGCTCAGTGTGAAATGGGGGCTGAATTTTAATTGTACATAATTTTAACTAGTTAAAATTTAAATGCCACACATGGCCAGCCAGTGGCTACTTTTTTGGATGGCACAGCTCTCTCTTAACCTGGGCATTTGTTACATGGGTTTGTTTGTGTGTAAAACACCATTGGGGTGGACACTCAATACTCATGCACTTTACTCACTTCACAAGGTGTATATTATACCTTGATTTAAAGGAATATTTTGCTTACCCACTTGCGAGCTCAGGTTTCTGAGCTTCTGCAGAGAGGACACGAGGCCACCTGGGATGTCGGCTCATGCACTTCCAGGAGTAAGTGAAGCAGGTGGGAGACTGGGAGCCCCAAGATACACTGATGGGGGTGCAGGGGCTGCAGAATCCAGGGGTCACGGGAGTCACTTAGCGGAGGCCAGACAGGCAGGGCCTCCCCCGCCTCGTCCCTTAGCTACCTACAAAGTGCATCAGGAAGCAGACTGCCACCAGCTAGCCAGCGCCACCAAGAGAAGTCCACTCTGTTTACTGAGGCAAACACAGGCAATCCATTCTCAAAAAAAAAAAAAGGTTTAAAATAAAACATGTTTGTCTCCTAAAAGAATTGAGCTTGGTGATGATGCTGGGTGAAAGAGGATTGGCTTGAATGAATCAAAATAAATGTTGAAAAAGGAACATGATCAAAACAGACATGTTTTTGTTCAACTTCTAAGCTGATGTCCCTGCTTATAATTGATAATTAAGAGTTTACCCAAGAGCAGGGTGTGCTGCTACCAATAATAGTTCACTCGGCTCTGGCCGTGTTCCCAGACAGACAAGAGCTGAGTGTTTTCATGTATATTCAGTGATCCTCGACCCCACTGTGCGTCCGAACCACAGGAGCCCGGCCCTGACCCTCAGAGCTGGTGCTACCTGGGTCTGAGGAGCGGTCTTCACAGAGCTCCCCAAGCAACTGAATTGTGTGGTCAGGGATGAGACCATGGCAGTCCCATTCAGTTGTTATAACAAACTCTATAAAATTGTCCTCATGGGGAAACTGAGGCTCACTTGAGGGGTTGAGACTCTTGTGATATCTGGACTACCGGCGGTCTTCGGGCCCATGCAGCATCTTGCTTTTGCCCTCTCTGATGTGCACAGTTAAATAAAAGAAGAAATGCAGACTTACAGCAAAAACACAAAGTCCTGACCTTTACATTTCAGTGAGAAACTGCATTCTATAATAAGCAGCAGCTGTATTTCCAAACTCTATACACAAAAGGCACCTGCTCAGAATTCCTGCAGCTTACGAGAGTGGCACTCTCAGAGAGAAGGAATGACAGTAACGGGAGGGTGGGGACTTTGTGTTGGAGCGTGTGGAGAGTAGGCATGTGTCAGTTCTCCGTGGGCCATGTCAACAGGGACTTTGAACAGAGAAAAGCCCAAGTGTCCAGAGGAGCCTTGTAGGAGGGAGAAAAGATCAGAGCGTGCTGAGCTCCATTCCACTCGCCGCATGGTAATACCCTGTCCCAACAAGAATTCCAAGACCAGGTGGAGTGCCTTTCTCTTTATTTTTCATGTCAATGTAGGTCTTTCCTCTGAATGCACAAACGTCTTTGTCTCCCGGTGGATGTTCTCTGTTGTCAGTTATTTGTTAAAAACCAGCATTAGCCTTGAGATACAGGTTTTCCCGGTAAGCACACCGAACCTGACGCATTGCACTGAGCGGAAAGACATTGATCTCAGCCCTCAAAGCAACAGCACAACAAAACAAACACAGGCGCTTCCACTCCCTGTCCGGAGTGGCGGCCAGGCGCGGAAGTCAAGGTCGGTGGGCTTGCGGGATGGCTCTCACTGTGACACCATTGTGAGTTAGGGTTGTATTGTAGAATTTCTGGCCCGACTTTTAAAGTTCAAGGCTTCCTCCCTTTGCTTTTATGTTATTTTCTCATTTTGTAAAAATACAAATGTGTGAGAAGCTTGCAGGTTTGTGGCAAACTGCTGTTCCTCCCTCCCCTCCCTTTCTCCTCTCATTCTTGGGTGATTGAGCAAGAGTAGGCCACAGGCCTGACTAAATGCCCTCCTTATTGCCCCTTCTTGGGACAAAATCCACAGTTCTTAGACTGTGACCCCTGCCCACTTCTCCCTCCTTCCAGGTTGCCCACTCGGTGCCAACCAGGAATCCAGCTGCTCCCCACATCTGGTCCTGGCCAGCCTGCACACCCCGTCTCCCACCCAGCTGACGGACAGCTGTTCCTCCTTCTGCTCTCAGCTGAAACACCCACTCACAGAGGCCTCCCTGGAGCCCCCAGACTGCACCTGGTGCATAGCTGTTCCCCAGCGATAATGGGGTACCTTGTCCCTCAGGCCTTGTCCCTCCTGCTGAAAGGCGTTCACTGACCCCATCTCAGTAAATGGCATCTCCATCCACCCAGAGCTCAGGCCAGCCTAGGAGAACCCTCCCGTAGCTCCCTGACCCCTATTCCCCACATCCCAGGTGTCAGT